TATATATATATATATATATATATATATATATATATATATATATATATATATCGTCACAAACAGAACTGCCCGGTAAACCGTAGGCAGAGAGAGGGGCTATGACAAACTGTTTCGTCGGAGTTTCACCAACTCATATGGAGGCTGAACCCTCAACAGTCTACAGAATCCCCTCACTGATTACATTGTAAATGATAATCTACCTTAACCAAAATCAAAGTAGACTATCACTCACCCACACCAGATGGAAAAGCCAGGCCGCCCGGGTGCCGGGTGGCCATCTCGTGCAAGGACCAAGAAAGGTCCCAGCACAAAAAAAAAAAAAAAAAAAACCCGAAAAAACTATGTTGTGCAGAAAACTAAACTGAACATCTTTCGCCTAAGGGTCACATCGAAGTTCTTCACCAAAAAAAATATGATAAAAAAAATTAAGTTTTTTTTTTTTTTTTTTTTTTTGGCCCGGCCGGGCAAGTGACCGTGGGCCGCTTTGGTAGCCTATATATATATATTTTTACGAAAAAAAAATTATGTTCGCGAGCTGTTCGCACGACGCGAGAACACGTTCGTGCAAATGTGAAGGGGTGCGAACACGTTCGTCGTGCTATGAAGCGACAGACTGAGACACACAAACGACAAAACGTTTCTCAGGAATACCTCGTAGGAAAAAATTCAGAAAGACAAAAACTCGTGATACACCTCCAAGTAGAATGGCACGAAAGATAAAGACAAAGTGCATCACGAAAAAAGTGTCATAACATAAGCAGTACAAACCCACTATAAAACGACTAATTAGACTGCAATCGCTTCCACTATGGCATAAGCATACCACAAAAAAACAAAGATATGCATATGGTGACAGACTGACAAACACAAACGACGAGACTTTTCCAGGAACACCCCGCAGAGAAGGTTTCAGAAAGACAAAAACTCGTGATACACTTCCAATGAGATTGGCATGTAGAATCAAGACAAAATACATAAAAAAAAATACGTTGTAACATGAGCACTACAAAGCCAATAAAATGAGAAATTAGTATACGATCGCTCCTACTACTCCCTATTGCCAAACTCTGAACTACGCACAGGGTCCTATTATGCAAGCCGTCACCCATACATTCGTACAGACCACTCGACTATAGAAGCCATGACCAAACACGTTGTTTTCTCTCCTTAACCTGAAAAGATAGAAGCCCCTCTCCTCTAAAATCAGATAAAATCAAACCCCCTCCCATAAACGTACCCAAAAATACGAGTTCCTTACTACCCCTTCCATTTCCTTACTTCGGCCACCTTAATGTCTCGTGGTCTGAGTAGACTTTAAAGTGTCTCCCAAGCAAGCAGTGCTTCCAGTGCTCTAATGCTTGCCTGAGAGCGTAGAGTTCCCTCTCGTAGGTAGATGTCGCTACCTTCTCTGAAGGCATCCTAGCAGACATAAACTCTACGGGTCTATATCCATTGCCATCGTCTTGCTGTAATGCAACACCTATACCATACTGACTCGCGTCAGTGGTGACAACGAAAGGTAAGGACGGATCGGCTACCTTAAGGACTGGGTACTCTATCAGTGCCTGGTTCAACTTTTTCATGGCAGCCGTGCAGTCCTTATCCCACTTCCAGATTGTTTCTTTCTTCAACAACCTGCGAAGGGGAGTAGCGACGGTGGAGAAGTTCCTCACAAACTTCCTGTAATAATTAGCTAGGCCTAGGAACAACCGCAACTCTGTCAATGTGCGGGGTGTAGGCCAAATCTCTAATCGCTGCAATCTTACTATCTTCTGGTTTGATGCCATCTTCGTCTAAGACATGGCCTAAATACAGAACTTGGGTTTTTGCCCATTCGCACTTCTTTGCGTTGATCTTGAAGTTAGCCTCTCTTAGCTTCTCTAAGACCTGCCTTAGATGACCCTCATGCTCCTGGAGGGTCCTACTGAATACTAGAATTCATCTAAATAGACTACTACAAACTTGTCCAACCATGGCCTAAGAAAGTCGTTCATACAACACGCTGAAAAGTTGCTGGCGCGTTGGTTAGTCCAAAAGGCATGACTATGAACTCGTAGTGCCCATATCTAGTCCGGAACGCGGTCTTATACTGATCATCAGGATGGACCTCTATCTGATGATATCCTGACTTCAGATCTATCTTCGAAAAATATTTGCACCCCTGCACCCGATCTAAAAGATCATCTATACGGGGCAGTGGGTCTGCATTCTTCACTGTCGTCGCATTGAGACCCCTATAGTCTATACACATTATGAGCTCTCCTTCCTTCTTGGGGACAAACAGAACAGGTGCTCCAAGTGGAGATGAACTGGGCCTAATCCAACCCTTTTCTAGGAGCTCCTCTTATTGCTTGCGCAACTCCTCCAATTCCCGCGGGGACATCCTATACACTGCTCCTTTAGGAGTCCTACTGCCAGGCTCTATCTCAATGCGATGCTGGATGGGCCGCGGAACTACTCCTGTTGGCGGCTTAGCTAAATTTGTGTACTCTTCCAGCAGCTTGGCAATAGCGGGATCTTTGGGCTTCTCCTCTTTAGGCTCAGTCACTGGCCTAACATAGGCTACAAAAACCTGTTCTTCTAGCTGCTCCTTCTTCACTAACCTTGCAAACGCAGAAGCGCTAAGGCAGCAATGCGCCAGGGGGTTGTCTATTCCGGACACATGAAACAGACGAGCAGTCTTGACCCCGCCTGACGGGCTAGGGAGCCTACACTCATGCTCCCTCAAATGGAGTGTGGCCCCTGCTGCCTCTCCCCAATCCATTCCTAGGGCTATATCGAAGGGAAGGCTGTTCTCTATGAGGAAAGTCAGGGAATGGAGAACTTTCTCCACTTTCCCATCTTTCTCTAGGCGGAAGTACGCCTGGACTCCCTCTACGTAATCCTCTACTCGCATTGTGCGATTGTCTGTGAGGATACTCACTATGGGGTTTGCTAACTTCTGGACCTTTAGCCCCACCTTCAACTTCTGCAGCGCCTTTGTACTGATATAGTTGCGCGTGGGCCCACTATCTACGAGGGCCCCTACTCTACCTCTGAAAATCTCTACATCTACTAAAACTAGCTGTCCTCTACCCTCCTTCATCTTGGCCCAGGCGGGCATTCTCTCCTTCAGCTCATCGGCCACGCCTGTGAGGGAAGTGCCTAGAGAGACCCTAACACAAGTGGTCTCTGGACAACTATCTAGGCACCGGCCTGCAACTTCTGCCATAGGCACATGTGGTGTGGGAGTTTCTTGCTGGCTCGCACTCGTTTCCCCACATGGCCTTATGGTAGGGGCAGTTGCTACCCCTACCGGCGGCTGCCTTTTGACCCCTTGGCAGCCGAACAGGCCTCTCTATACTTCGGACAGTATTTGATGATGTGGCCAGGGTCACCGCAATATATGCACTAGCCCTGGTCCACACGCTGTTGCCAGACGCGCAGGCCCAAACCTTCCCAAGGCCTACCCCGTGGCAGACCTGGGTGCCATCCTCCTCTCCTATAGGGTGATCGTTACCCCTATTAGGCGACCTATTCCCTGAACGGTTTTGCGGGGGACCTTGACCCCTTCCTCCCGCTTGGCGGACCCCTTGATCGCCCTGAGAACGGCCCCCTGATCGCCCTGAGAACGGCCCCGTGAGGCCCGACCCCCTTGGCCCTGGCCTCTACCTCCTCCTTGCGGCCTCCCTCCAGCCGCGACAGCAGCATAAGTCCTCCCCTGGCTAACGCCACTGTCCTCCTCCTCTAGTCCCCACTCAATCTGCTCGTAGGGGACCTCGTCGACACCACCCTCATCTAACGTAAGGATCAAACGATCCTTGGTCTTGACTTGACCCGAGATGGTGTGACCCTTCCACTTTTTGCCCTTGTCCAAGTCCTTATGCCAAAAAGTGGAGATTGACGCGGACCGTGCTTTGAATGCTACCACTTCCCTGCTCAGCGCATCGTAGGTCATGGTAGGTTGCTGACTCTTTTCAAAGAAATGTCTGCGTAACTGCTTGGGCATAGCGCGGTAGAAGAGTTGACCAACTGCCAACTGGGTCTCTGTGACCCCATAGTCAGGAACGACGACCAACTCATCCATCACACCTTTGAGTGCCCTGACACTCTTCCATTGGCGAGAATGGATGGTTTGCAGTTTGTCTGAGGCCTTGACACTACGTGTAACGTCTGCAAATCGTTCGCCCAATAACTCAAGGAAGTCAGTGAGGGGAGTGAACGTAGAATAAGCAACTAAATCATCATTGCAGTTAGCGGCGCGGCACAAGGAACGGGCGAAGCTTGCTGCTTCGTCTCGAAGGGCATGGATGGCTATCAGAACATGCTCATCCGGGGAGACCTTCTGCAGATGGACGTAGGTTTTGACATTGGCTTCCCAATTGTCAAAATTCTCTTCTCTTCCCACTATAAGAGTCAGGGAACTTGACCTTAACAGGCTCCCTACGGGGGCGTACTTCCTCCTCTTTGGGAGCAGTCAATCTGATGCCTTCTATGGCGCCCGTACAATAACGTTATGTGCCCTCTAGGCGGGCCCTCACCTCTGAGCCCACCTGCGTCACCAATTCCCTGGCGAAGTCCCTGAGCTCCAGCCGTATAGAGTGTAAGGCAATGTCTTGCCCTCTACCAAATAAATATTGCTCTTCCTGGACTTGTGCCAAGCGCTCTGTGTTTCTTGCCATTATCTGCATTTTCCCCAGTAGATCCACCTGCGTCGCCATCTGGTCTCTTTGCTTCTTCACCTCTTCCAATTCTTTCGCCGCCTCACTTGCCGCCTCCATTCTCCTTTTTCTCTCCCTCATTAATCGGAACTTCCATTCCATCCTCTTCTCATCCTCCATTGCTTGCCGCTTGAGTGGGTCTTCTTCTGCATCCCACTCTCTCATGGCCGCCTCTTGTTCTTCCCTGGGCACATACATCAGTGCCTCTTCTTCTTCCCCTAGGGACAAACCAGCAACCCACTCTGTAATTTTCTTCTCCATTTGATCTTCTTTTGTGCCACTGGATTCACCTCTTCCTCCTGCCCTTCGCCTTTCCAGTGGTTGTTCTTCCTCCTCCTCCTCTTCTACCGCCTTGAGCTTCTCTTCTTCTTATCTCTTTAGCCTCTCCCTCTCTCTGGCCATCTCCTCCTCAATCTTTCTAATTTTCGCCGCCTGTTCTTCCAACAGGGCCCTCTTCTTGGCCTCCTTCTCTCTTTTCTCTTTCAAGAGGGCGGCGGTTTTCGCCTCCTGTTCTGCTGTGTAAGGGGAGGTGCTCCGGCCACTACGCGTGTCAACCATGGTGAAAGGTGCACAACCAAGTGACAGTTCCGCTCCTCACCACTTAGACTCTCCCCCTAACTTACTCAACTTAAGACTGACTCAATCTATGGACCAAAGGGTTCGTAGAGAGCCCTGTCAACTATGGTCTCTAGCCTAGACTCTAATCACTACAGCCGTCACTACAGAACCTGTTGCTAACCAGGAGGCATTTAAGGAGATCCCCCGTAACTCCTCATGAATTCTTTAACGTCGCAGACAGGACGACGCGGTCAGCAGGTTCTCTCAAGACTTAGACGGCCCGTTGTGCAGCCCACAACTCGGATTTTGGGCCTACCGTGCCACACCGAGCAGCCCGCCGGTCAGTACCGGTCCTTGGGAGGGTTCGTGTCCTCCGGGACAGTCGAGTCGTCAGATACAGTCTTTAGCCCTACTCAGCCCGTGTGGGTTTGGTCAACGAGGCCCTATCCTTCATACACGGAGTCCTATCACCTAGACCGAAGAGACTCAATGCAGAAAGAAGAGACAGATAGACTCAGACTCAGCAAGTACCATAGGATGAGCGCACATCCATAGGGCAAGGGGGTAGACTAAGGGCTTGGCGAGATTATACCAACTCCAGCTTGGTCAAACTCGTGGCCAACGGCTCCAGTCAACGCCTCGGTCAATGCTTGGTCAACGCGGTCACGCCCCGGTCAACACTCCGGTCAACCCTCTGGTCAATGCCTGGTCAACCCTATGGTCAACGCCCGGTCAACCCTCTGGTCGGCTATGGCTGCCGGCACCTTCTTCCTCGCCACCCTTCACTTCTCTTTCCCCCTC